ACAGTTTTATGTACACCTTCACCGTGAAATTTTCTTTATTTTACTCGTTCTCAGTAACTATTTGTCATATCTTTGAGCTCATTTATTAGTGGGCATACCAAAGCAAAGCGATAACATTTTCTATCAGTGAAAATTCTGTCCACATTGGATGAATAAAGGGCACTTTTGACTTTGATTGATTTTGACCACAGAATCAATAAGAAAGCTAAGGTTTGCTTTGCATATGCAGTACGCCATACGATAGTTTTAAGCAAAAATGATTATAGAAACAAAAGGCGTGATGAATAAATATTTGTTTTTGCACACTTACCTAGCTAATAGTTCCTTTTCATCCTTTAGTTCCATCAATCGAGTTCGCAGAATGTCTACTTCCTTTTGCATATTTTGGCGGCGCAGAAAAGCTTCCCGCTCCTCAGCCTGTCGCGCTAGTTCGGCCTTGTTTTTCATCTCTTTTTGCTCTTCTGACAGGCTGGTCAAACGTTTCTCGTATTCCTCTTCTAGCTGAAAAAAATAAAAACAGTTTGAACGGAATGAATGAATCCTTATGCGTAGGGATGGGGGACGGTATGTAAGGGTTATCCCCCTCTGCATCAATTAAAAATGGTCCAACCAGAAATCTCAATTACCTTTTTCTGTGCGTTTTGCAACAACAGCTGATATTGGTCCTTCATCCTGCTTTCCACCTCTGCCAGTTGAGAATTTCGGTAATGGTCCAGCTGAAATGGATAAGATTTGAACGCAAATTAGCTTTCACTGATTCTAAGACTAGGTAAAGCAAGACGTCGGATGACCTTTTCCATTTACACTACTTGTTTTGGATAAGTAGTAAGTTTGTATTGACTAAATTATTCGCTGGTCACCTAGTGGTCCTGTCTGGAACATCATCCATCGTCTATCACTTACCTTCAGGTTTAGTTTCTCTGTATATTGAGCCTCCATTTCTCGGCGCATGGAGTCCAAACGTTGTTCAAATGTTTCTTTTGTTGACTGGAGATCCAAATAGCGAAGATGATCATAAGTTTTATCAATATTTTGCAATTTGTAATCTGTGTAAACGAATAGATAATAAAATTCTATTAAAATAAAATGACCGATGTATCGAAATCGAATTCACTTTTACCTTACGTTATCATGAATTGTCTTTTCAATTGGGCAACTCGTTAGACAAAATGTTGATCAATTCATCTATACAGGATCTTCCGATAACCAAATTCTAACTTTTTAATCACTCCCATCGGAAACCGTTTGTCAAATACCAGCATAGCCAAGGTCCAGGAAGGCCTGCTGTAACTTCATCTTCAATAAAACTCAATTACTCCCGTTTTAAATCATTTTACAAAAACTAGAAACATTTCTTAGTGGAACTGACCTCTCTGGAAACATCACACTCTCCCGCAAGTAGTTAAATCGCATTATCTGTATCCGTTCTTGCATCACTTTTATGGCGTTTTAAATTCGTCAGCTCTCCAGCGCTATCAAACTTTACGCGCACAAAACAACCGAATTTAAACAAATGAGCAAACGACCAGGTTCACTAACCAAAAGACTCGACATGCGTTTCCCGGTCGGTCTGTATCCCGGTACACATCTGAGGCCATGTGAACTGTTCTTCGCAATACCGCAATAACACCTCCAACGGTGAATGTTCTGCACTCTATATCAGACGAAATAATACACACTTCACATGGAGAATAGAAGCACTCACCATCATGCTTTTGATTTTCTGGTTCTGTAAACTCTTCATTTCTGATAACAATTCATCCGGTTTGTGTAGTTTTGTTCTTCCATCGTGATCCAGGCAATACACCTCGTTTTGTGAGAGACCACTTTCAGGAACAAACACGCTCAAAGTGTAATCGCAGTGACGAAAAATCAGATGGCTAACAATTAGTTTACTCGCGAGCTTTGAATAGTAATCCACATGTTGCTTTCCATCTCTACCGGCACCAACTGCAGACCAGCTTTTTTTCATCTCCAAGATAAGCTTACTACGAATATGGGACTAAACGACCGAAGATAAAGGCATCATTCACAGCAGAATATTACCTTCACTGTCTCTAGTTCACCACTAGCCACCAACATCTGATACATTGGTAGATGCATTCGCTTTTTCAGACTCCTTCTTTTCCGCGGGGCTGAATTGTCTGGATCGTTCATCGTTTACTGAAACATTATGCGTAATATGAAGTGAATAAAGGGAATTTCTGGTAAGCAGACAACTGACGAAAAGAAACTCGAAGCTTTTGGCATATGCGGCAATATCAATGCAATGATAGAGTGTGATAAAAGAGATTTGGGATGGGAAATGCCGAAAGTGGAAACCGAAAGTGACATACTGAGAAATGGTTCTAACTTAAAGTTTTTGACTGTTTTCTTTGAAAGTATTCTGGCTGGCTCAGTAATGGTACCAGATAGCTATCTCCACATTCCCGGCGTTTTCATTGTATTGCTTTCAAGTGTGTTGTGCGAACACAATGTGTATGAACGTTTGTATGTATACGGGATTGTTGAAGCTTACCGTTTATTCATCTATTTTCGCATGTCAATCGGTTTGCCTCAAGCTATTTTGCCTAAAGTGCATCAATGCCGCATCGTTCCCTCCACCTACGGTTCAGAAAGCTGGAACTTTACTTGATAAGCCGATAATTAACCCAGATTCTCGGATGTCTGAAATTCTTTCTATGCCCCGAAATTGGCCTCCACCATTGCGGTAATAGTCGCTCATTTTCAGGGGAACTCTCAAAGGAAATGACGCTTAAAAAGGAAAGGCTAATGGCCATGGGCATGTACCAGATGTTTGAAAGAAATATAGATGCTTCCTGGAAATGTATCACTAAAACCGGGTTATTTGTAAGTCCTAAGATGATATTTATGCATTTACAGCTGAATAAGAGTTCGCAAAATCGAGAACCAATGTCAATTCTAAACTCATGGCTATCCTATAAAATACCAAGACTATCAACTAGGACTACGAAATTTACATTGATGATCAGTGGCTTCAGAAACTAAAGGAAACATGTGCTTTAATATTTTTTTCGATAAAGAGGGTTTGGTATTTGGATCAGGTTGGTGAAGCAAACTTCCACGTCAGAGATCCATTCAAAATTCTTCATGATTCACAAAGTGAGTAGTTGGAACAAATTTATTGAAGATTTGGTCAGGTCTTAATTCAATCAAGAAGGCTCTTGTTAATCGGTAATCAGTATTATTAATATACGATCACTAACTCACTGCTCTTGAAGGCTCTAGGACTGGTCATGTCTCTTCCGCCATGCCAGGCTTTTCCATTAAAATTCATTTTTTTACTCTCGGTCGTAAAACCACGGTGTCAAAACTCTTTACTCAACCACTTCACAGAAGGTGATTATCATTGATTTCTGATAAAAGCAAGTGTACCAAACGACCCTTTATTAGCTGACTTTTTTGATACTGCGGAATACACACACGAACTACCCCGTTTTCATCTCATTTTAATCGTTGTTCAGAAGTCAAAGGGGAAGAGTGTGACGATTAAATGATATTTGTTATTATTAAATTTTGTGCGCGTGCCCTTTGATTGGCTGTGCTACGCTCTTGTGCTCGTTCGTCACGTTGCAATTTATCACGTTTACTTGATCAATCTCTCGATGCTAATCATGTCTAGAATGCATAATTATGCTCGTGATTACTACCGGCAGGATAGGCAGCGAAGTAGGGAAAAACACGGAAGGTGGTTTGGCAACCTACATCAGTGTTTCCTTGTGCGGCAAATTGGAAGTGAGATATAACTATTCTGAATGGTGCATGTTACATAAAACTGTATATTTCATTCCGCGTGACTAACAGTGTACATTTTCAACTGAAATGTAAACATGTAAGCTGACATAAGTTAATCAAACACAAATACAACTACCAATAGTCAAGAACACCCCGTTTCCCTAACCTTACTTTCACTTAAATATCAGAATTTATATAAAATACTTCTAAGGTGCATAAAACCAGTGATTTTCAGAGTTACCGAACGTGCCATATGTGATAATCTCAAGGAAGTGTGCCTAAAACTGAATCTCAAGTGATTTTCGTGCGATAACTCCACAGATGATGAAATAGATCACATTTGGAATCTTGCAGAGTTTTATTTGTTATGAATATCGGAATGCATATACTCAATGATTGATTCATCTGATTGCTGTAAACTGCCTCGATTAGCTGGAGGTTCCAACCAGTCTCCTGAGTTTACTATTTTTTCTTTGATTGGTTATCCTAGAACAAACAGTTCTCAATGAGTATGCCAACCTACTGACATCAAATTCTATCAAACTCGATGTCAGATCCAGGTGCATCTGTGTAGTTCACACAGATGTGAACCTATACTGTGTGCAAAACCAATCACCATCCAATAATCTTTTGCAAAGAAAACAATTTCAACGTAATGGTTGTCAGAACATTTGCAAATTCATTATATCTTGTAGCCATTTTAGTGATCAGTTTGGGATGCAACCTTTGATAGGCTGATTGCTTGTTTAAATGCCTCTTTATTGCAACTAAGACCGGCACTACTAGCCACACCTACCATGCCGGATGTTCTGGGTGTAAATTCAAACGGTCTCAGTGCATCGACGGAGACTATCATGATTTCTGATTTCAGTTCCAAGCAGTTAAAGAATAATCCAGTTTGATATCCCCAGTCCAAATATCAGCCTAATTTTCCATCCGGTCCACAACGTTCGAAATACCACAAATGTATTCCTCCGTATACTCTGACAAAGCGTAATTCTTGTTTCAAATTTCATCACTCTACATGTACAATCAAAAATGTTAAATACTTCCAACCTGAAAAAATGAAACATTCAGTCTGAATGTAAAGAATGTTACTCTCTCTCCCTGCTTACAGCATTCAGAGGAACATATCATTCCAATGACTTTTATAATCTTTTACTTCCTACGTTTGTATCATTAGAAAAATAAATTATTTGCTCTTATCCCTTACAATGAAAGATTATTCATCATTTTCTTAATGGCTCTGCAGCCTGTAGTTCTTCAGTTCTATGTATTTTTCTGTTTAAGCAGGTCTAGCAAATAAGATTTGACCAGTAGTTCATCGCCAACCTAAGCGAAATGGTGGAGTCCTCTCACAAATAATAAAGGCGCTGCATTTCATCCACAGTATCTTGTGACCGATAGAGACCATTGGTGATAATTTAGGAGAACATGAAAAAATTCATTTCTCAAGCTCTATGCTGACCGAATACGATATATCATTATGATATCTATGGTAGTTTGTTATTCCATAGCCTGAGAACATATGAAGAGTTCATCAATGATCTCGGAGTTTACGGCTGATACCGTTTTCTTCAAAAGAGATATATTTTCATCAGCACTTTGTGAATGGATGCTATTTCCGCGACTGGTCAAGTTTGATAATATATTGATATTAGGTCAATCACGAAAGTTAAATACAATTGCAATTACACCATTTTGAATATCTCAGCTATGTGCTAGAGGAATAGGCCATTCCTTGAAAGGCAAATCATCTAAGTTATTAAAAGACCCCAGGATTCGGGTCTAACAAAAATAATAATCTCTTTAAACTCCATACCATTAAAGATGTACAACATTTGATTAAGATGTTTACAAAGAAGAAAGGAGCAGTGTGTCCCTTTGCTACATTTTTTCAAGTCAGTAGTAGCTTTAGGCATCCGGATGGATGAATTTTCAGCATTTACACCATATTTGTGGATTCAAATTTACAAAATCATTTGATAATGTAACTGAACGCAGTAGACTGTGTTTATCAATTAAGGAAGCATTTGCGCAATTCTGTGGAAATTTTCTCTTTGTCAATAAGTAGACATGCTAGATATGGCAGAACAGGATTATGATAAGCAGAGTTACGTGCAAATAAAAGTTTAAATCTTGAGCGTGTGGATGATGTAGATACAACTTTTGAAATTTGGTTGTGCAATGGGTGATGAGAATCTGAGAGTATTTTGGCGGTGAAACTTTCGCATGCTTGTAGATGTCTGTCTATGATAAACTCCTCGAGTTTATCCCTGACAAGGCCACTACATTTAGGGACGTGTTTCAGAGATCTCGCCAGTAAATAAAATTCTTTCTTCAACATACCAGAAAAAATCACTGGGGAGTAAGACAACCAGTGGGGTAGCACGCATGCATTCACAAATCTAACAATCAGCTTGTGGGGAACAAAAAGTAATCTCAATCGGAGTCAGGAATATGAAAGTTTTCTAACTTTACAGAATGTGTTTTGAACATGCAGTGACCATGATAAATTATGTGGTAAGGTGAAACCAAGGTATTTTCCTATTTTTGATTTCGGTAGGGGATTTTGATTGGCAGAGAGAGTGGGTTCCTATCTATGAGGGCTAAATATGGTTCATCGGACAAGAGGGAAAACACAACATCCTGACATTAAGGGGCATTCAATGAGAGGGACCGGGACAAGGACCAAGTAACAACGTCGTTTAGCTTGCTTTGAATTTCTGAAACCTTTTCAGGAGTGGATGCTTTGTGACCCAAAAACATCGGTATCGGCGTATTTACAGCCAATGAATGCAGGAGGAATGGGAAATTGTTTGATATACATTGAAAAGAAAAATGGGGAAAATATTGCTCCTTGCAGAACACCAGAAGAAATTGAGCTAGCGCAGGACTTTTTTCCCTTGAGGCACGTAAACTGCCTTCTATTTGTGAAATAATCGCAGATCAAGCTGCTAACGTTTGGATTAACACCCCTTTCGGTAATCAGGTTGAGGAATATCGATCAATCAGGACTTCCGAAAGCGCTTTTGTAGTCTACGAACATCAGTCTGACGGTCTTACTTTTCTTATCTAATGCCGCAAGCATTGAATGAACACGGTATGCAACGGCAAAGAGCGCAAAGAGCGATGTGCAAATTGATGTATGTATTCCGCAAAATCAGTGACAATCCACAGTAAAAAAGCATCTCTCAAATAATTTGGGCATGACAGACGTGCAAGCGATGGGATGATACTTCCCAGGTTCCTTTTTCGGAACGGGAGTTATCTTGGCCAGTATCCAAATATCAGGGATTTTTCCGCTTATCAGACAGTCATTGAAT